TTGTGCTCTCGTCGTTTGGTTCAGAGGCTCCTTTTTTGGGAGCCAAGCCTCCCAAAACTAAGTCCCCACCTGCGACCAAGACCTACGGTCTGTAGACCAGTCTACTGGCCGTAGATGGATCTCGTAGGTCCTACTATTTTTTAACAGCTTTTGGGTAGATATTGGGGTCTTTTTGGGGAAGTCGTACCCGAATGTTTAACCCCTAAACATGGTGTTCTACATGTAGAAGTCACTTCTACATGTTTTCACCGTTAAACAACACTCTAAACTTCAACGACAAGACCCTTACAACTCACTAGTTCAAATGATTAGTTTTCGGACGTCATAGTCGTTTTTTGACGTTTGACCCCTAAAATCACCAAACTAACTTCAATAGCCTTTTTTCATCATTTAAAAAAGTTTCCAACTATAAACCTAACATTTGAGGCTCTAGTTCAACCTACTAGATTTAGTCAAGCCTTAGTTAGGTCTTACTAGTTCATACGGGGTGTTACACTTCCGGAACTACGTTGTGACTCGATCCTCTTCACTGAGGTACGTAAGAAACTTATTATATATCCTAAGTTCAGTTTCATGAGTGTCAAAAAAACACATGTTCCCACTTGATTTGTCACATGAAAGTTAAAGCTATGAGTAATCTTTTATCAAACTTGCACCAAATGGTAGTGACTCAATGGGGACAAACCCCTATGAATAAAAATTGTTTCAAGATGAAGTCTTCAAAATCTCCAAGAAGTTGAAGTCTTTAAATTTTTCAAGTCTGCAAGTTGAAGAGTCTGCAAGTTGAAGTTTTCAAATTCTTCAAGTCTAGTCTTTGAAAGATAAAATATCTCGACAAGACTTGAAGAAGGGGTCATTTGTAGTCATTTAAAATTTATTAAACATAAATTTATAAAATGATTCGAATTATATTAAATTCATGAATATATTAGTCCAAATAAATATTATGGATTAATATAATTGAGTTAATTTAAATATAATAAATATGAATTTAATTAAACTCCACTCCATAAAACTCATATGTTATGTCACTTAAATCTGATTGGCCGAAGGGAATCTTATTCCAATCACAACTCCTCTATTTTAAAACTATAAATAGTGGTCCTCATATTTTAGAAAAGGAACGAAGAATTCTAAACAAGAAGCTAGAGAAAGCTCGTGGATCAAAAGCGAAAGATTGCTCTACAAGTTCAAGAATTCTAACAAGAAGCTAGAGAAAGCTCGTGGATCAAAAGATGCAGATTTTTCTACTAGCTAGAAGTTCAAGAATTCAAGTTCAAGATCAAGTTTAAGATCAAGAACGATCAAGATCAAGTTCAAGTTCAAGAACGATCAAGATCAAGACCGTCGAATTCAAGATCAAGCTCGAAGCCCTTGGATTCAACTAAAAGTCAAGATCAAGATAAAGTTTAAGTTCAAGATCAAGATCAAGATCAAGACAAAGTTCAAGTTCAAGATTAAGTCCAAGTTAAAGTCAAATTCAAGATCAAGCTCAAGATCCCTTGAATTTATATTTGAAAAGGCGAATTCAGAGGAATCATAGAGATTGTAACACTCGCACTTTAAATCAATAAAATAATTGTTGCGATATTTTTCCGTTCTTGATTATTGTTTTTCTCAATGCGAATTTTATTGTCTACAACAGTACACCAAAAAATATTTACTATGTTTAGTTTAAGTCCCACATTAGGGGTAAAACATTTCCTAACAAAGACGACTTTGTATCTGGGGTATCCGGACCCGAGACCTTTGGTAAAGGAGACTTTGTATCCAAGGGAATTCAGACCCGAGATCATTGGTAAGGGATGAAGGAGTACTTACCACTCTACCACAAACCTTGTTGTCAAGAGTTTATTATGTTTGATTTTTTACCTAGCTAGTGTCAGGTATTGGCTTCGAAGCAGGGACAGTTATATTGACGGTTACAAATTTGATAAAACTCAACTACTTTATTTCAAATTTTATAGTTATATATAAAAAGGAAGAAGTTAGTATATAAAATTAAAATATTTAGATCTTAATTAATAAATAAAAAGAATTGTCTGATTCTAAATTCATAAACTAAAATTGTTCGCTCTGCCTCAACTGAAGTTCAAATTTAAGTTGTGTAAGGCCCATTAGAGGCTCAATCAATTAACTTTTTTCATTTGCAGACTTGGAAGCTCTAGTTAACAATGGAAGGTGGACGGCTCAACCTAAAGCCACTAAAGCAGTGGCGTTAGACCCCAAAAAATAAGGTCTACCAAAAAATTTTAATATTGACTTTATAACATTAATTGAAATGTTTTATCAAACATTTCAACTTCAAACTAATAAGATTATTAAATAATTAAAAATTCAGAATGAAAGACATGCAAATCAAAAACGGGGGAAGTCATCCCTGCAGATAAGATGGCCGAGATACGGAATAGGAAACTCGCTCGCTTCGGAATCCCTTTCAGATAGGAGGACCCATTTTTGGGATAGACCGAACCCTACACGGGAGCGATAGCGAAGCCAATCCGAGTAGGCGCACCTTCTCATCGAACGAGTTAAATAAGACTTCAAAATAGACGTGACAAATCCAATAAGTAGACTTGAATTAGCTCTTTTAGCTATAGAAGTTCTTGGTGGAATCTCTTTTGTTGGTAAACTATCTATAGAAGATGTTGATGCAATATGCGGTGCATGTGTTCTCGAAAGCACTCCCGAGAGAGAGTGTCTTTTTTGGACTTTATGTCATCTTGTGACCTCTACTTTGATTTATGCGATTGTTGCCGCATGTAAGGCGTAAAGAAGACAAGGGGTTCCCCCTCTTTTCCCCCCTTTAATGAAGGACCCTCGCCTCGCTTCCTAATCATTTATGGGTCTGGACCCGATGTTTTTTTTTTCAATTTCGAGAATCAACCAACGGAAAAATTCATAGTCCAGGTGACTCACAACCTCCCTCTCGCCCAAATAAATGAAATGGGATGAATCAAATCAATAAGCTTTTTGATTGATTTAGGAATTTTAAATATATTGTCTTAACTTTGAATGTCTTCTAATTACTATAATATTGAATTTTGTAGTTAAAAGTTTTATGAAATATTATATTAGTAAAATGATATTCAAACTGATATATTCAATTAAGTGAAATCTTAATTTTATTTTTAAATATTTTAAAAATAATTTTGATAGTTTATGTAACAAGTTTTCAAAGCTATAATCAATAAGAGAGATTTAAATATTTGTGTTATTACTTAAAGTACAATAATTTATATATGTTTATTATAGTCTTACAAAATATTACAAGAAGTGTTATTCTGTCAATTGAAAAGAAAATTAATTATTAAATTTTAATCAATTATTTTTTTTTTAAAATAATACTACGAGACTAAAATATATTTTAAAATTAAATATTGAATTAACAACCTGTTATTGATTTTTGTTAAATATTGAATTAACAACCTGTATTGAGCGTCCCTAATGGAGGGATCTTATCCATCCACCACAATTCGACCTGTAATTGAATTTTTTGTTACCACAATTTCCGTATAAAAAAAATTAACAGTAAAAAAAGTAATTTGATTACTTTTGCATCTCTGTAAACCTTTTCTAAAAAAATATAATTAATTTTTTTGGTAATTGTCTATTGAAAATAACCTTTCTATCTACAAAGGTTGAGATAACGTCCGACCTTAATTTATAAAGGATGATCTCACTCCTTATGTTCTATATTTTATCTCTCAATCCCTCTTCTTAGTTCAATATGAGATGATAAATATATTTCAATGATGATCAAGCATCAAAATAAGAACATAAGAATAACTCGTATGATAACCAATCCACTTGTGCGACTATATATGTTTGGTATTATTTTTGTTGTTGGCATGTGCTTTAAAATTTTGGTATTAAATATAGCATTCATATTTATAAAATAACAAAACTGAAATATCGAATTATATAGTTACATATACAATTATTAGTAAATTAATATCATAATATAAACTAGTATGAATACAAAACTAATTGTTCAGACGTTGGTATTTCGATTACTTTATTTTGATTCAAATGTCCTTTTTATCTAATTGATTAACAAAGTAAATTATTTGTACTTTCTTTTGTATATTTCTATATGTAATGTGGTAATATGATATAATTGAGACATTTTTTTGAAAACTTAATGTCATATTTTTCTATTGTAAGAGTATATATAAGACAAAATTAAATAAACTATATATGATTATTAATTACCATATCACAAAATATCAAAATCGAAATTTTTATACCATACCATGCCGACCCCTTGGCCAAAAAAAAAGAAGAAGAAGAGATATACCTTACTTGCCAAAATTCGAAAGTTGTTTCCATGGAATAATTATCTTGCAAGATTGAAAATGCAAATTGTTATATTTTTAGATATCCTTGAAGGCAAGTAATAAAATTATGGATAAAAAAGGGAGAGCAAAATATTGTAGCATAGAGCTTGCAAGCCGGGAAGTACCCCCTATAAATAATCACCACCTCTCACTAGTCTAAACACACACACACAACAAAAAAACACTTCATTCTCTACTATTTCATACAGTATATGTTTTTCTCTTATCCCCCACCACCCCCACCCCTATTACCCCCTACCCCACCTCCATCTAGTTTCTTTCATCCCTCAAGAATATTTTTATTTTCTCTTCTTGAACTTAGATATCATATACCCTCTCTTCTCATTTGTTCTTTCTCATCTATTTTTCTTTCACATCTTTGTCTTAACAACAAATCAACCACAAAAAGAAGTAAAATAAAAAACAAGAGAAAAAGAAGCTTGTTTGATTTATCGAATTGTAAGTAAGCCAAATTACCCAAAAATAAAAGAGTTCTAAAGGTTTTGTACTAGGAAAATTCATTTCTAGCATCACCCTCATACACAAAAAAGATTGAAAAACGCTAACAAGTAACTATATATCAAATTGTTTTATTAAAAAAAATGTGTGTTTATATCTTATCGTGTTTATTTATTTTTTTTGTAGAGAAAGGAAGGGTTGATGGCCCCCGATGATAGAGGAATGAGAAACGGGGGAGGAACAAGACAAGCGCTAAAAAAAGGGCCATGGACAGCAGGAGAGGACGCGATTTTGATGGATTATGTGAAAAAACATGGAGAAGGGAATTGGAACGCGGTTCAAAGGAATTCAGGATTGATGAGATGTGGAAAAAGTTGTAGGTTAAGATGGGCTAATCATCTTAGACCTCATCTTAAGAAAGGCGCGTTTACTCCTGAGGAAGAAAGGATTATTATCGACCTTCATGCTAAACTTGGCAACAAATGGGCTCGCATGGCTGCTCAGGTTAAATTTCTTTTCAACTTTTTCTTTCTCTTTTTCATATATGTCGAAAAAATAAAATAATCGGTGTTCTTACATCTATGTCCTTTGTGCATATCTATAGGATCTTGTTGTTTCTATTTTCTTGCCTTGAATTGATTTTACAACCAAACAAATCATTTTCCATAAAAGGATCAGAGAGTTGTTGATTATCTTCTTGATTCATTTAGTTTTGTTGGTTTCTTTTCAATTTTCATCTTGGTTTTTAGTTGATTCATATTTTATCGCCATGCGTGTGGAGTTTTGGGTTTATAGATTGTTATTTCTTTATTGAATCTTAACTTCAATTTGGATATTGATCTCATTAATTTATCTTGTTGATTCAATTAGTTTTGTTGGTTTTGATTTTTGTTAGATTCATATTTTATTGCCATGCGTGTGGAGTTTTGGGCTTAATTTGTTATAGATGGTTATCTCGTTATCATTATCATTTCTCTATTGAATCTTTACTTCAATTTAATTTGTTCATTGACCTCATTAATTTACAAGTCTTTTTTTATGTTTTGATCTAATTAATGATAAATTATCTAATTTTATGATATTCATTTCATTGATTACAGCTACCTGGAAGGACTGATAATGAGATCAAAAATTACTGGAACACGAGGCTAAAGAGAAGACAAAGAGCTGGTTTGCCTATATACCCTCAAGAATTACAATCACAAAACCAACAAGAAAACAATCAACCTCAAAGCCTTATTTCTTCACCATTTGATCATCCCCAAAGAGCAACTTATAACAATCCTCCCCCTCTTTCCCTTTTGAATGTTTTCAATCCTTCAACCATGAGACCCTCTATTACACATCAATTCCCCCTTAGTAGTAACACCATTTTTCGCAATCCTCCTAAAGGCCTTCCCTTGACATTACCGTCTTCTTTGAGCAATTCACCTTTTTTGTCATCTATGCCTAACAATAATTTTGGTCATACTTTGTCCAATTTAATACCAATGTCGTCATTTCAACAAAATTATCCGAATTTTAGCTTAACAACAAGGCCATTTATGGGGATTCCTTCGAACCAAAATGAATTAATGTCTGGTATAGGTATTAATTCTATTAATTACCCCTCAGGGCCATCGTTAATGACTGCATCGTCTTCTGAGAATACATGTAGTGATTTTGGTTCTAGTGATGCTAATAATTATGCAAATGTTGGATTATCTCAAGGAAATAGTGGATTATTAGAGGATTTATTAAAGGGGGCTCAGAATTTATCTCGATCTACGAAAAATGAAGAGAATAATAATCTTGATTTAAATGAAAAAGGGAAATCATTATGGCAAGACTATGGTTTAGTGGGAAATCATCAAGATGAAGCCATTTTAACTGAAGAATCAGTTTACAGCTTTGCTCATGGTGGTGATGTCAACCTGAACAACTCCTCTGAAAGCTCCAGCACTGATCCCAATGCATCTTCAGGTAAATATTTAAATTACGATTTATAAAATAATAGTAGAAATTAGCTATGAAATTTGTCGTTTATCTCTTCTTATTCCTTTCAAGTGATTAGAAAATAAAGAAATATATTAACTAGTTAATATATTCAAGATAATTATATACTCCTCCTGATTTTTTTCTCTTTTAGTTGTCTGTTACTCTATTAAAAATGATTTTCACTTTTTCTTGTCATTTTTAACATATTATGAGCAAAAATAATTTGATTTTCTTGTTTTATCCTTGCTATTAGATATTAATTTCACAAATAATTTTATAAAAAAAAATTGAAATGCTAATAGTCATGGGTATTATAGTAAAAGTACTTTATTTATTTTAAAAAGTGCAAAATATATTACAAACAAATAAAAGTGAATAGATGGAGTGTTTACAAAATATTTTCTCAATTTATCTTATTTCATTAGATCCAGGATGTGATATGATTTCAAAGTAAATCACTAATAGAATTCTTACCATCCATCTTTAAAATATGATTAACAACCGTTTTTGTCGTTTTTCGACAAAAATTGTCTGTTGCTAATTCCAGATCATATCGTAGACAATTTTACTTTTACTATCGTACCCCTAGCACTTATTATTATTATTTTTCAAATCATTTCCAAGATGTTTTGAAATGCTAATACTCATGAGTATTTTAGTAAAAATACTTTATTTATTTATTTTTTTTAAATAAAATGTAAAGTACATTATGGACAAGTAAAACTGAATGAAAAGAATATATATTTACAAGATATTGTCTCAAATCATCTTATATCATTATATTCGGAATGTAATATATTTTCAAAGTAGTCACTAACATGATTCTTAAAATCCTTTGGTAAATAGGATTAATAATCGGTTTTTTGTCGTTTATCGACAAAAATTGTCCGTTGCTAATTCCAGCTCATACCATAGACAATATCTACAACAATAATTGTTTTTTTTTCTTTCTTATATTTTGAAGTAACTTTTAATTTTTTGCTTGTTATAGGGATATTCTTGAGAAAGGAAGGTTCATTACAAGGAATTAACCAAGTGGATGAGCATATAATGTGTCTTCTTAATAATTATCCTCTAGATCAAGAACCAGTTCCAAATTGGTATGATGAAAGTGATGACAAAAAAATTAATTCAAAAATTGGTGCTGATGATCACAAAGCTGAAAGTTTGGTTGAAGATTCTTCGAAGTCACAAGTGGCAATAACAACAACATCAGGGCCAAAACAGCATGATTGGGAACTTGGAGGGTGTTGTTGGAACAATATGCCTCCTTTTTGTTAGAATAAATTAGAAGAAAAAAAAACATTGATGATTAGGTTAAAGAAATTGGAAAAGATTGAGGGATACCTCTCTTTCCTCTTTTTTTTTTAGAAAACCTTAGGTTGAGATATATTTATAGGTATATTTGATCGATGATCGATCATTTGGGATTGTCCTAGATTATTTGTTGTTTTCGTTGAGTTAGAGTTGTCTAGTTTTAGGGTATGTTGTTGGTTTTAGGGTATGATTGCTCGAATTCTTTAGAAATATTGTCGAGTGCATGTTGGATACTCTAGAAACAATGTGTTTTGGAGGATCTCACACAAAGTTTGGCGATAGTTTTGGAGACCCGAGCAATATAGGTTTTAGAGCAGTAAGTTCAAGCGGTTGTTCTATGAACAACAATCAGGATTTATCTTGTTAAGCCTGTTTTATATATTGGTGTGTTATGAACTATATCTCTGGGAAAGTGAAAGTTATTTATGTTTGTTTGAGACTGAAATTGCTGATTTTTTTATTTTTTTTTTGGCATATCTAGTGCCAAAGAGTTGGATGTCGTGTCTTGAAATATCTGTTTGATATGGTGAAAAATATTTTTTGGATCATCCACTTAACTCAAAATTATTTATCGCACCTCTCATTTGAAATAGAATTTATCTTACTCACACAAAGTAACAATCTTGTTACAAGTATTTATGTACCATTCATTAATTAACTAATTAGTTGTAACATGTGAATAACTACATGTACTTTTTACTACTTCCACCGCTTCATTTTACTTGCTCATATTGATTTGATATACCGTCCCTTAATACATAAATTGGACAAGTAAGAAAAAAAACTATTTTTATTGTTAGGATCAAATAAAATGAAAGGAATAGAGTAATAAATTCAATTTCTTTTTTCTTTAATATTTCCTCAGTTTTACTGTTACTTGTTCATAATAGACTTTACGCTTACTTTAAGAAAATAATAAATGGGGTGCATATTTTATCATACTTTCTCCGTCCACTCGAAACTTTGCTCGTTCCTTAAACAACATTGATTAATATAAGTATTTTTTTTCATAATACCCAATATTAATTGATGTTTAGTCGTCTTATATCTTGAGAAATGATTTTGAAAATAAATAATTAATGTAGAAGATAAATGAAAAAAAAACATGTGTTTTTTCTATATATTCTTAAAGTTACAAATAAAAATAAAAATAAAAATATAATTTTAGTATAATAAACACGTAAAAGTACTAAATGAAGAGATTTATTAATACCTATGAGACAGTGGTCATTAAAAAAATGTTTGGAAAATGATTTAGGAAGCTAATACTAGTGTTAAGGAAAAAATAGAAAATACAAATAGTCATTATCCTAAAATAAAAAAATTATTTTTAAAATAATGAACAAATAAAAATGAATGAAGCGTTGTTTTTTTTTTCCTATTATATCCCCAATAAGAGAGCTAGACTTGGATCACATCCTTCTTTATCCGGAATCTCGCAAAAATATGGTGATGTATGTCTTTACTAAATTTAGAAATTTTAATGATGCCATAGGTCATAACTCATAAGAAGCCCATTGTCAAATGTCAATTGCTTCAAATTTAGTATTCTCATTTTTACTTATTCGTTCCTATATATTTATATCACTAATTACTTTTAATGAAACTACAAAGTTCAAACAAAATAAATAAAAGGGAAAAAGGATAAATATACTCTCGAACTATCATAAATGGTATGCAGATATCCTCTGTCATACTTTTGGGACAATGGTGTCCCTGTCGTTCAAAAACTAGAGCATATATGCCCTTCACTCTAACGGAAGACTATATAGGGACACGTGGCGCAATCTTATCCGTCGATCAGATATTTAATAAATGTCGGATTGGTGGATAAGATTATGACACGTGTATGTCCGTTAGTATAAAGGGTATATATGCTAGCTCTAATTTTTTGGACGACAGGGGCACCAATGTCCCAAAAATATGACGGAGGGTATCTGCATACCATTTACGATAGTTCAGGAATATATTTGTCATTTTTCCCTAAATAAAAAAGATGTCTCTATTTTTATCATTTCATTCCCTATTAATAAAGGTTCATACATACCATCAATTCTCAAGTCATCTCACTTTTTATTTCTCTTTTATTTTATTTTTTCAAATAAAGTCAATTAGCCAACCTTATAAAATCAAGAAAAATAATTTAGCAACTTGTTGATGGAATTGGCATGTTTCATGTTCGATGTCATTATATTTTGGTACTTTAATATTGAAACTTTACCAATATGAATTTGACGTTATATATATAATATATGCTTTTTAGGGTTTAGGGGATTGTGAACCATACGTCAAAGTTTTGCTAACGTTATGCCCATAATCCCATAGGATATATAGACGATATTAATTTGATTCATTATCTTCAGAATAGACCTTAATTTTTTGACTTTGTGTGCGTCATTTGAAAAGCGCAATTAAGTCGATAAAAATTAAGTTTTGAAAAGAAAAAAAGAGAGAGAGAGAAAAATTATGGGCGGTATAAATTAATTATCATCACGCAGCTTCAAAAATCTGCCGATTTCTTTCAAATAAAGCTATGTTGAATTTCTATTGCTTCATACGCAACAATTTTATTAATTTTATAAAATAAAATGGAAAATAGATAGTATTCTTAATTTTATTAATGATCAGGCCATGCAATGCATTGCTTAATTTCATTCAACCGCCAGTCCATTCAGGGTGGCGCTCCCAATAAGATTTTCTTCGAGACTTGAATCTGAAATCTTTGGTTAAAAATAAAACAGTCTCAACTCCCACCATTGCACCTAATAAATAACCTTTAAATTTGGAACTTCTAATATGCTAGAAAGGATGTTTGGGGAAGGGTGGCGGACATCAAATGGATTAGAGTTTTCAAAAAACTAGAAGAGGTTCAATTTTCCACCAGAGTTGACCATTTGCCTAGAGTATCCTCTGATCACTCTCCTCTAGTAATCTTCTTAGAAGATTATAATACTCGCAGGCCTGGGGTCTGATAAAAGATATTATAAAAACTTATAGGTAAAATAACTCAAAAGCATTGATACAAAAGTAGCTCTTCTTCATGTAGCTTCAAATTTTACTTACAATCCAAAAATGACATCTTCAACGAACTTCAATCATCAATATTTCCAACAATTCAATAAATCATAAAATCTTTTTGTGAGGTTTCAAGCTTTTTCAAAACCCCAATAAAAGATTTTTAAAATTGTTCACTTTAATTCACTCAACAATATTTAAATTTAATTTGTGATGATAAACATTAATATCACTGTCAATCAGTTTCTAAGCATAAAAAGTGAATCATAATCACAAACTAAGGAATTATTTCCTTTTCTTTAAGTATTTCAAATTAAATACAAAATGGATTAATAAGGTATGATCTGACTAATTTTGAGTTATAAGCAAGAGTCAAAAGTGATATAAAGTGTAAAAAATTTAAAAAGTTATACCCACACATAAAGATATATTTTTTTGAAACATAACATAATCCAGTAATTAAAAGATACGTTTAATAATAAAAATACAAATAGATTAATTTTTAAACAACGGATATATTGGATCTAAATTGTATAGTATATAGATAGATATATTCAGGGCTTTTTTTCCCCAACTTAAAATAAGAAAGAAATAGAGTTGCTTCAAATTCCTGGTTCTTTGCGGTTTTTGTTCCTTTTATTTTCTTAGCTTTATGCAATATTTATCACAGTACATTACTTAATTACATTTGAACAAATAGTCTGAAATTCCCTACTCCCTCTGTCCACTTTTATTTGTCATGTTGCGCTTTTCGAAAGTCAATTTGACTAATTTTTAAAGTTAAATTAGATTACGTTAATTCGATATTTTTTTAAAAAAATTAGATATTCAAAAACTATACGAAAAGTACTATAAGTTGCAATTTTTTGCATATCAATATGATGAAAATATACATCGTAAAATATTGGTCAAAGTTCTTATTGTTTGACTCTAAAAAAGGAAACCATGACAGTTAATTGTGGACGGAGAGAGTATAAATAATTTATCCAAGATCACGCACAAAATACAGCGATGCACCTTTTTTTTACTAAATTTAGAATCTGTAGATGACCTCATATATACCTGGAAAAATTCAGAAAGTTTGAAAATACAATGATGGCGCCTTTGGATACGATCCTCTCAAGTCTCAAAATAAATGTCATTTTAGCAACAAAAAATATTATCTTGAAATAGGTGTTATCGTAGAAACTCAAGACAAAAAATAATACAAGTATGATTTTTTTAACTATACTTATATACTCTATTTTTTGTTAGTGTTCAATTTTGAGGAGACATTTATTGAATACAAATAGTTTAATAAACTATACATTTTATTTATTAATTTCTTAATGGAGGTGATTGTTTTATTAAACTAATATTTATTTTGGGACCAAAAAATATTTCCTTTTAATTAGTTGATGGTATCCTTTGCAACTTGCAAGGGATAAACCAAATGTCCACATACAATTTGTGTATTTCTGACACTTAATACGTATATACATTTTATCGTGTCAACAGACGTATGGATATACTTTATTTATGATTTTAAGGACGTTGTCTTACGCCAAAGTATTACTCCCTTTTAGTGCCCATAGGCCCTCGATAGACTTTTTTTTTTTAAAAGAAAAATATAGCTCAACTTTTATGACCATCGAAATCGTATGTGTTATATAATAGTATATTATTTTCAATATCACCAAAGGTAGAATTAGGATACTTAAAAGAGGAAGCAAATTTTAAGAATAGCAAACATAAAAATCATATTAGCATTATATAGCTACAGTTTTGCTTATGGAGCATCTGATTTGTATAAATCGCAGGCAAGCATCTGGTTTATATAAAAACGCAGCGATTGTATATGTATATCGGTTAGATAATCGTATATATGTAACTACTATGTATATGTATCAATGATTGTGTTTGTATATCTGCATAAAATTTGAATTTGTATACAATTGAATCGAATTAAA